ATGAACACAGCAGGCCAAGCAGCATCAGAGGAGCAGGAAAGCTGACATTTCGGGTCTAGACCCTTCAGAATTTTTTTTCTGATGAAGGGTCTAGGCCCGAAACGTCAGCCTCTCTGCTCCTATGATGCTGCTTGGCCTGCTGTGTTCATCCAGCCCTGCACCATGCTGCTTAGCCTGCTGTGTTCATCCAGCTCTACACCTTGTTACCTCTTATTAAAATACTGCGAATGGCTGGAGATCTGAGATAAAAAAAACAAAGGGCTGGAGAAAACCGCCTTCGGAACTCTCCTGTCTCCTTCCCTCCCAAGCTCTTTTAAAATGAAGTTAAAGCTCTCTACTATTTTACACTGAAAGCGAAGCTCCTCCAACACTGCCCCTGTCAAACACAGCGTGGGGTTAGGTACAGAGTTAAGCTGTCTTTACTCTTTTAAACTGGAAGTAAAGCAGCACCTACACCGTCTCGGTCAAACACTCCCATCACAGGCACGGCAGGGGTTAGATACAAACTGAACCTCCCTCTAGTCCAAATTGAAAGTAAGGTTCTCTTTTTTAAACGGAAAGTAAAGCCGCCTCGACACCGTCTCCATTAAACATTCTCAGGACAGGGTCAAAATGGGGTCAAGATCTCCTTTCTTTCTTTGTCCTGTTCACCTCTTGCTCAAAACTTGTAACATTTTGAAATTTTCCAGTTCTGATTAAATGTTATTGACCTGCAACAGTAACTCAGTTACTTTATCTGAATTTTTCCTTTAGATTTCTAGATTTTCCCTTACCTCTCCCCCAGCACTCTTGACTTTAAGCTCTACCTGCAGCCCTGATTATTTAATTCCCCAGGAAACTGATACATCAGTTTAAGTGGAGTCCATTCCCAAAGAAACAGTTCCCATTTTCCTCAGTACTGATGCCAGTGCATATTGAACTGAAACATCTCGCACCATTTTTTGAGACAAGCATTTAACTCTTTGATTCACATGCAGCTCAGCTACTAATCTAGTTATTAGCCCCACATAGTGATTCTGCTTATTAATTTGGAAGAAAACTCCTCAAACACCCGCCACAGAATCTAATTCCCAGTTATTACTTTATACATTTTTAAAATTTTGTTCATTGGACATGGACATTACTAGCTAGACAGCCATTCATTGCCCATTCGTAGTTGCTCTGTAAAAGGTGGTGGTGAACTGCATTCTCTGGAATGTAGGGACAGTCAATGTGCTATTAGGGAGGGAGTTCCAGGATTCTGACCCAGTGACAATGGATGAATGGTTTTATAGCTCCAAATCAGGATGGTGGTGTATCTGCTGCATCTGCCAATTTAGGTGTTGGAAACAGCAGGCTTGGAAGGTACTGTCATAGGAGTCTTGGTAAGTTGCTGCTGTACATCTTGTACATGGTATACACTGCTGCCACTGTGTATCAGTCCTCAAGGGACTGAATGTTGAAGGTGATGCAGTGTAAATCAAGCAAGCTGCTTTGTCCTGGATAGAGTAGATCTTCTTAAGTGTTTTCAAAATACTCATCTAGACAAACCCATCTAGACAAATGGACAGTACCCTATCACACTTCCGACTTGTGCCTTGTAGATGGACATGCATTGAGAAAACAAGATTTGAGACACACATTGCAGATTTCTCAGCCTCTGCTCTGGCTTCTATAGACATAGCATGTAGGTGGCTGATCCAGTTCAGATTCTGCTCACTAGTTACCTCACCGTCATATTGACAGTGGGGAATTCAGCAATAGTCTTGCAATTGAATGTCAAGGGTGAATGGTTCCATTATTATTTGGTGGAGATGTCATAGCCAAGCACTTGTGTGGTGTGAATGTTACTTTCCACATCAGTCCCATTCTGGATGTTGTCCAGATTTTGCTGCAAATGGCCACAGATTGCTTCTGTGGAGTCCCGAATGGTGTTTTGCTTATTTCCAACTTTACATTGGAGGGAAGGTCATTGAGGAACCAGCTGTAGATTGTTGAGCCGAGGACACCAGCCTGAGGAACTCTTGCACTGATGCCCTGAGGTTGAGATAATTCACTTTTATCAACTACAGCAATTTTCATTTGATTTAGGAGAGATTGCAACCAGCAGGGAGATTTTCCCCTCATTCTCATTGACTCCAGTTTTGTTGGGGTTCTTTGATGCCATAATCATATTCACCTTACCACTGAATTTCAGCTTTTTTGTCCATGTTTGGATGAAGACTGTAATGAGGTCAGGCACTGAGTGGACAGCAGAGTGGCTCTGGCGAATCCCAAACTGTCAAAGGGTGGACAATTGCTGAGCAAGTGTGTTTCATACTTTTTTCTTCTTAGTCAGTGCCTTGAGACAAAGGATAATTTCCTTCTATTCTGGAGTTGTGGCTACTGCGATAACCAATGCCTGATTTGTACACTGCCACAGGTGGGCAGGTGGGGTTTGAAGAGGCGAGGAAGTTTGATTCCTTGAGTTTTTGCCTGCCCCTTCAACGGTTTGCACTTGGTCTGCAGCAGGGCCTGTCTGAGATGCCTGTGATGATCGATACCTTCTTGGATGCTTTTTTATCCAGTTTGGGAAGTCTTGGACATGACATTACCCACAGGTCATTGGTGATATTGCTCTTTTTCAGGGAGGCTTTGAGGACACCTGAACTCTTGAAGAGTTTTCTCTGCCCTCCTAGCAACTGCTTGCCATGTTAGACCTTGGATTTCTGATGTTATTTTGAAAGTTTTATCTTCGGCACGCAGGTGACATGGCCTGCCCAATGCAGCTAATTGACAGTAACCAGTGCCTTGATCCTGGGAATGTCATCTGAGAGAGGATACTGATATTGAAGTGCCTACCCCCCTTTTAGGTTTGCAGGGTTTTGCAGAATCATTGCAGGTAATATTTCTCTAAGGTTTTGATGTGTCCACTGTATATTATCCATATCTCTGACACATATGAGTAAGATTATTGTCCGGTAAACCATGAGCTTTGAGCCAGGTTTTAAGGTTATTGTTATCAAACACCCTATTACAGCCGTGCTGAATGAGGTGTTGAATTTCACCCTCAATGAAAGGAAGCTCCCAAGGTTTGAGAACTGATCCACATTGTTCATGGGGTCTCCATGGAGCTTGATAGTTAGGCGACAGTGTTACACGGTGGAAGCAGGCCGGTTAAAAAAAAAGCTTGATTGCACTGCCACTGACCCCTTCCATGACTTTGCTGATGAGTGAGAGTAGAATGATAGGGCAGGAATTGGTTGGGTTGGATTTGTTCTGCTTTTAGTGGACAGGATCAGAACAATTTTCGACATTGCCCGGTAGATGACAGTGTTGTAACAATATTGAAACAGCTTGTTTAGGATTGTCTGGAGCATTCTCTTCAGTACTGTTATCAGACAAGACGACAAATTGATAAGAGAACTCAAGTAATCAGGTTAACGATTGTTTATTTCATGTGTACACAGAGAGAGACAGTTTATCACTGAGAAGTGTAAAACTATGGGTGTTACAAACATCTCCAGCTTTATATAAACTATTACAACATACATATTTTGTTTACTATTTTCTCATAATCCTTCACAGGCATTATCTGTATTTCAGTGAAGCCCAGCTCTATCTTGCTGACAATGCAGCTGCTATACTCCTAGAGATAGCAAGAACTGCAGATGCTGGAGTCAGAGATAACAAAGTGTGGAGCTGGAGGAACACAGCAGGCCAGGCAGCATCAGAAGAACAGGAAAGTTGACTTTTCAGGTCAGGACCCTTCTGCAGGAATAGGGAGGGAGAGGGAAGCTCCTGTTCTTCTGATGCTGCCTGGCTTGCTGTATTCCTCCAGCTGCACACAGTGTTATAGTGATGGTGTCAAAACAGGACAGTAAGGAAGATTCTACAAGTACAGAACAGTATGGTGAGGTTACATGTAGCACAACATGAACTCAGGATTACAGTGGAGGCCATCTTCATGGGTACGGAACTTGGCTATCAGTTTCTGCTCAACGATTCTATGTTGTTGTGTATCTCAAATGCCGCCTTGGAGGACGCTTACCCGAAGATCGAATGCTGAATGTCCTTGACCACTGAAGTGTTCCCCGACTGGGACGGAACATTCCTGCCTGGCGATTGTTGCACGGTGTCCATTGATTCATTGCCATTGTGTCTGCCTGGGCTCGCCAATTTCCTGCAGCATATGAGGTAGACAACATTGGCCGAGTCGCATGAGTATCTGCTGTGTATGTGGTGGGTGGTGTACCCACGTGTGATGGTAGTGTCCATGTCGATGATCTGGCATGTCTTGCAGAGGTTGCCACAGCAGGGTTGTGTGATGTTGTGGTTGATGCTCTCCTGAAGGCTGGGTAGTTTGCTGTGAATGATGGTCAGTTTAAGGATTGGCGGTTGTCTGAAGATGATAACTGGAGGTGTAGGGTGATCTTGGTGAGATGTTCATTGTGATTGATGACATATTGAAGGCTGTGAAGAACATAGCGTAGTTTCTCCACGCGGTGGAAGTACTGGACAACGAAGGGTACTCTGTTGGTCGTATCCTGTGTCTGTATCCTGAGGTGCTCGTTGCAGTCTTTCGCTGTGGCATGTCAGAACTGGTGATTGATGAGTTGAGCATCGTATCCCGTTCTTATGAGGGCATCTTTGAGCATTTTTAGGTCTCCATCACATTCTTCCTTCTCTGAGCAGATCCGGTCTATACGCAGGGCTTGTCCATAGGGGATGCAGTCTTTAACATGTTTAGAGCGGAAGCTAGAGAAGTGCAGCATTGTGAGGTTATCCGTGGGCTTGTGGTCGAGTGAGGAGCTGAGGTGCCCATTCTTGATGGAAATGAGATTGTCGAAGAATGAGACTGATTCTGAAGAGTAGTCCAGGGTAAGTTTGATGGCGGGATGAAACTTGTTGATATCATTGTGTGGTTGTTTCAGTGATTCCTCCCCATGAGTCCAAAGGAAGAAAATGTCGTTGATGAGTATAGCACTGGTTGGGGTCCTGTGCAGTAAAGAAGTCTTGCTCAAACTTGTGCATGAAATTGTTGGTGAATTGGGGTGCAAATTTGGTCCCCATTGCTGTTCCTTTGTCTGGCTGAAGAGTTGTTTGTCGAAGGTGAAGACGTTGTGGTCGAGGATGAAGCAGATGACTTGTAGGATGGCATCAGGAAATTGGCAGTTGTTAGCGTTGAGTACTGAGGCTGTTGCAGCGATGCCGCCATTATGGGGGTTGTTGGCATAGAGTGCCAAAACATCCATTGTGATGAAGAGAAGTTCCTTGTTCGACTGGTCCGTGGGTGGTGAGTTTCTGTAAGAAGTCTGCAGTTTTGCGACAGAAGCTGGGGGTTCCTTGTTCAATGGGTTTCAAGATGCCCTCGACATAGCCAGAGGGGTTCTCACACAGGATTCCGTTGCCTGATACGATGGAATGTCCAGGTGTGTTGGCTTTGTGTATCTTAGACAAGCAGTAGAATTCTCCTGTGCGACAAGTATGAGGGATGAGAGTGCATAGGATACTCTGAAGGTCTGGAATACAGGTCTTAATCAGAATTTTGAGTTGACGGGTGTGTTCTTTGGTCGGATCGGCAGGTAATTATTTGTAGTCCTCCTGGTTGTTCGGTTGTTGTTACATTTCTTTGCAGTAGTCCGTTCTATTCTGTATGATGATTGCTCTTCATTTGTCTGTTGATTTGATCACAGTGTTGTGACTGATCTTGAAAATATTGATGGTGTTACGTTGTGCTTGGGTGACATTCTGCACCTTCATGTGAGCATGGCTGATGAATCTTATGATAACGCATCTCCTGATGGCTTGAGCATAGATGTCAAGCTTAGGGTGATCCACCTGATGAAGGAGCATTGTGGTGAGATTTGAGCCCATTTCTTCAGAGCATTAGCCTGAGCTTTTACTAGTAGTTCAGTAATATTACTGCTATACCACCACCCCCCGATAAGCCCTAACAGCTGGATTTTCTACTCTTAAGTTCTTTTCCAGCCATTGCAAATATCTTTAATCCTGACACAGGGAAGACAACAGAATCTTTGGAACTCTCAGTCATGGCTACAGAAATTATTACTTATTCCTTTATACCATCCCCTACCTCTGCCACAGTGCAGTAGTCATTTAGCCCATCCTGTCTGTAGTCTTTGTTCCCATTAATACAGGACAAGTTGAAGGGTCAAGGCTTCTCCATTATTACATCCAGTGTTCACATACCTGAATGATTGACAGTCACACCCAATTGTCCCTAACTACTGACTAACTCTAGAGAACTACTTAATCTAAGACATGTGACTTCTTTCTGTAACAAAGTGCAGTCATTCTCTGATTCCCTGCAATCTCTTCAATTTAAAAAGAAAACAACCAAACAACTCAACACTGAATTCCCACAGGTTGTAGAAACTTTAATAAGCGAGTGTTGATCTCATTGAAGTGCACACAATTTCTCGCAGGCATAAGAGGATAAATGCTGAGAGGATGATTCCCCTGACTTCAGTGTCTAGATCTAGAGAACAGTCTCAGGAATAAGTTGCATTACTTAGTACTGAGATGAGGGGAAACTTCTCAAGGTTGTGAATCATTGGAAATCTGTACCTTAGAGGGTTCTGGGCCCTCAGTCCTTGAGTTTTTCAAGGCTAAGATAGATAGATTTTTGGACACTCAGAGAATGGAGGGAATTGGGTGGGAAAGTGGAGCTGGGGTGAAATGGCTGTCGTTGAATGATGATCAGATTCCAAGAGCTGAATTGTCTAATCCTGTTCCTATTTCTTCTGCTTCGAACAATTTAAACTAAATTGCTATTCTAAAACATAGACAAGCATAAGTTATATTTTTCTTGGTACTGGTTTGGTTAGGTTATAGATATTTTTAAATATTTAGGATTTGGCTGTCGTTTTTCTTTGTAAAAACTTGTGCCAAACTTTTGTACAGTGCTTAAGGTGTGAAGATGGAGGAACACAGTAGGCCAGGCAGCATCAGAGGAGCAGGAAAGCTGACGTTTCGGGTCTGGACCCTTCTCTGAGAGACCCCACTATGAAAGAAACATTTCCCTTCCCACCCTTATCTGCCTTCCGGAGGGACCGCTCTCTCTGTGACTCCCTTGTCCATTCCACACTCTCCAATAGCCCCACCACCCCGGCACCTTTCCCCGCAACCACAGGAGGTGCTACACCTGCCCCTACACCTCCCCTCTCACTTCCATCCCAGGCCCCAAAAAAAACCTTTCACATTAAACAGATGTTCACCTGCACATCCGCTAATGTGGTCTATTGTTTCTGCTGTTCCCGATGTGGCCTCCTCTACATTGAGGAGACCAAGCGGAGACACGGAGACCGCTTTGTGAAGCACCTACACTCAGTTCACGACAAACGACAACATCTCCCAGTCGCAAACCACTTCAGCTCCCCCTCCCACTCCCTGGATGATATTTTCATCCTGGGCCTCCTCCAGTGTCACAACAATGCCACTCGGAAACTGGAGGAACAACACCTCAAACTCCGCCTTGGAAGCCTACAACCCAATGGTCTCAATGTGGACTTTACTAGCTTCAAAATCTCCTCACCGTGACCTCATCCCAAGACCAAACCCCTTCTCATCCCCACCGCCTTGACCTGTCCATCTTCTCTCCCACTTATCCACCCTTCCCTCCTCACTGACCAACCCCCATCCCAACTTCCTACCTACACTCACCTTTACTAGCTTCATCCCTGCCTTCTTGACCTGTCTGTCTTCTCTCCCACCTATCCGCTCCACTATCCATCTTCTTTCACTGCCCCCCCCTTCTCTATTTATTTCAGAGCCCCCTTCTCTCTCCGCCCCCATCCCCCCATTTCTGACAAAGGGTCCAGACCCGAAACGTCAGCTTTCCTGCTCCTCTGATGCTGCCTTGCCTGCTGTGTTTCTCCAGCTCCACACCTTGTTATCTCAGACTCCAGCATTGGCAGAATCTATTATCTCTTTTGGATAGTGCTTGTTGTTCTAAAGACAGGTTTCCAGAATTCTTTTTTGTGATTGCATGCCAATTGTGTTGATGACACTTGTTTTATATTACTTATGACTAGTTGAAATATAGACTTTATTTTTCATTCTTTTGCTCTTTTATGTCACCTTTTGCATTTCATTCCAGTTTGTGCTAATGACTATATCTCTGACAACAGCATGATTCCATTGCAGCAAAGCTGTTTACTTTGGTTTTGCATTTATTTGCCAATATCTGCATATACCTTCATACAGGAAATGAAAATGCTTTCGAAATCAACAGAAAAGGCACCTCTACTCCTGGGAACCGCAAATGTGCTGAATGTGCCTCAATGTAATGTCCTGACAGTGCCGTGCCTTACGTGTAAGAAGAAATTTACTGCAACGAGTGCTCGTCACCACAAAACCCTGCATCGCGCACTTGCTATGCTGCAGTACCGTGCAGGCAGCCAACCTGTCAGCCTGCTTTCCCTCCGGATCCGCCGGCGGAGCATCATTGCCAAGAGGATGCGAGCCAAGAAATTCAACTCCCTGGAACTGCAGAGGATCAACTTTGCATACGAGATAGTGAAGTCAAGTCGATTGTTAACATGGCCGTTTCTAATCAAAAGTCCCATTGTGTGCCATGAAGAATTCCCACTGCCTCTAAGACTGCCCGACTATCCCTGTGTAAAATCACTTGGGATGTGGCAGGATATGAATGTCCTTTGGAAGGCTCAGATGGAAGATGTCTATGTTTTCATGGATTGTTACGGCGGTCAGAGCGATGTATGGTTTCTTGGCCTCTTCAATGGCTTTCATGGTACGACTGCGGCACAGTTCACTTCCAGAGATCTGCCATTCCTAATTATAGAGGAGCTGAGAAAAGCTGGCCATCCTTATGTTCTGTCCCACGAAGAGCATGAATCTCTCTTGAGCTACAGTGCACTTTTCCCCGACAGCCCAACCGAGGAGTCATACGTCATTCTCCCCTCTTCAAAACCTGACGACAGCCAAAGCAACAAAACGTATCAGTATGGATCGATCCATTTAGCTTTTGCTAAAGCCTTTTGGAAAATGGACAAAATTCTGGGACTGGGGCGTAATGAAAATTCAAAGGTCCGTTGGAGCGGTTGTACAGCTGTCACCTGCCTTCTAGAAACCCATGCCCTGAGCACCAGCAGCAGTTCTGAAAGCCTCTCGGAAGACGATGTGTATGAAATCGGAACACTGCACATTGCTAATGCAGGTAACGTGCTCACTGGAGATGCTAGTAGCTGTGGAAGTTTTAGTTGATGAAGATAACTTGTGACACATCTGATCATGGTTGCTGTTTCAAGTTTAAGTAATTTGTGTCATCAGCACCCACACTAATCAAAAAAACCAACGGTGCCATTTTGCTGGGACACCTTGGAGCATGATTTATATTGTGCAGATAGTTCTAATCAGTCTGTTCAGAGATGTTATTACACACATCTGCAGCAGATGGGACTTGAACATGCTGTGGAAAGTGGCCAGCCATCTGACCATCTCCTGTGAAGGGGCACTTTGCACTATCCTGACTTCACATAGCTCACCCACCTAATGCAATGTGAGAACAGCAAACGTGGGCCATGCATGTTCAGGACGTGAAGTAAGACATCACTCCCATAACAGTCATCTTGCACTTTGTTCCTAGAACATGAAAAATAGGACTAGGACTATACCAATTCCTGCTCTATTATTCAACATGGTTGTCACTGATGTTCTGCTTCAGTTCCACATTTCATCAGTATCCTCATGTCTCTTAGATGTCCTCAGCATCCAGAAATCTATTGACCTCTGTCTTGAATGTACTCAGATGTAGAGCATGCAAAATCCTCAAGGTTGAGATTTCCAAAGATTCGCAATAACCCTTTGAGTGAAGAAAGTTTGCTCAGTCCTCAATGACTGACCCCATGTTCTGGGATTGTGACACTATTTTCATGTTTCCCAATCCAATGACTCAAATGGATGACCTTATTCTTCTAAACTCCATGAATACAGGCATAGTCTACTTAATGGCTCCTCCTAGGGCAATCATCTGGTCCTGGGAAGCAGTCTAATGAACTTTTGTTGCACTCTCTCAAGTGCACGACTGTCCTTCCTTAGGTAGGGGGACCAAAAATTGCATACACTACTCCCTAGCATAGCTTTTGTCCCTGGCTGCACTCCCCAGAGGAATCACTATACTCACCATATTCAAAATTGAATCCTGCCTGAAAAGCAAGGTGAATTCTTGCACTAAATGCCTGGACCTCCTCAACTGCCTACCCGTTCTCTGCCTGTGTACCCTAAAGCTGTTGGGTACAAATCCAGAGACTTGTTTTTCACAATACTCAACCTTGCAGATCCAGCAAAGTGATCTCTTCTGCTGCTCATTCTTTGAAACCTGGAGATCATCAAGCAGTCCAGCTTAGGCTATTTCATTAACGCATTGTTGTCTTGAACTTTAAAAGAATCTTGGAGTTCCCAGATGGTCTAAGATGGCTTCATATGACTTAGCCGTCTTGTCAAACCTATATTTATTAGACAATTCATAGAAAAACCTACAAATTAAATAAATATGAAAACTCCAGCTACGCACAAATCAACTGCTTCACTTGCGCTGACATTATTCTGTTTGTAAAAAGATCCAAAAAGCTTGCAATTATACAGTGCTTTTCCCTTTTAAAGTCTTACAGAGAAGTGGTAACATTCCAACCTCTGGGAGAGAAGATCCATGTTCATGTCCTGCGAATGTGTCATAACACATCTGAACAGATTGTTTAAAAATAATTTGCTGTGTTTTTACAGTATAGTGATATCATGTTGACTTAAAATACAGAAGGTAATTGGTTTGAAACTAGCAAGCAACATCTGTGAATTCTTTAGTGTCTTGTGGAACAGTGATAGAATCCAAGTTCAAGTCCCACCTCCTCCAGAGGTGAGTCATAACATGTCTGAGCTGGTTGATTAAAAATAGTTTTACAGCATGTTCCCCCTGTTGATGCCTCATAACGTGTTACAGGAAATGAAATTCTGTTGAAGAGAATTCATTGTTGTATTGTGGGAAATGTGGCAACTAATGTGCATACAGCAAGCTCCACATACTCCAATGTGATCATCTGACTTCGTGACATTGATTGAGAACCAAATAGTGGCCAGCATATAGGGGCTAACTTCCCTGATCTTATTTTGGAATGACAACAGCACAGAAGGAGGCCATTTGATTTGTCATGTTTGCTCAGCTGGCTAAGCAAAAGTGAATCTAATGTGATTCCCCTGCCTTTTCCCCGAGGAACCTGCAGTTACTTTTTCTCCAGGTAATTCACCTCTACATTGTCTCCTGTCACTCAGTTAATTTAATATTCATGCTACTGTTTTTACTTAATGAGCTCTAACTTTGCTGAGAAGCCCACAAGATGGCACTTTATCGAAAGTCCATGTACAACACACCAACTACATTGGCCTCATCAACACTCTCTGATACCTCATCAATACCCCAATCATGTCAGTTCAGCACAACTTGCCCTTAACAAATTTGTGCTGGTTTTCCTTAATTAAATCACCTTTACCCAATTGACTGTTAATATTTATCTCAACGTATTGCAATGGAATATTTTGTATCAATCTAAACGAGATCCTCAATTTAACATCTCCCCCAAAAAAGAACATTACATTGTTACTGCACAGGCGTTTCAGCCTTGACTGGAATGGAACTTAGACCTGTAATCTTATGACTTCTGTCTTTCTCTTTCATGTTCCTTCCTGTCTTTATCTCTTGTCTCTCTCACTTACCTGCCTAATAGGCAAAGTGCAAAGGCTAACATTAATGCAAGATATAAAGAAATTCAATATCAGTACATTCAATCCTCGTCATCTGCAGCAGATAGGGACACGGACCCTTCCACAGATAACAAACAAAATGCAGATTCTACTACAGTGTAAATCCCTTATATACCATGAAGGACCACGAGATCTATTGGGGCCAGTTAATGAGGAAAAGAGAAAGATTGGATCTGGGGCTGACCTCATACAGATCTGCGGAAAGTGAATGTGCAAATGAGTGAGGAGTGAGTGTACAACATGAACAGAGTTTGCGATGCAGCCTCTTCTGCTCTAGGTAAGGTGGTAGCATAGTGGTAATGTCAGTAAACTAGTGATCCAGTAGGTTATGCTAGTGATCAGGGATGTGAGTTTGAATCCCACTATGGTAGTTGATAAAATTTGAATTCAATATTACAATATGGAATTAAATACTAGACCAATGGAGACCATTGTTGTAAAAAACATCTGGTTCACAAATATCCTTTGCGGAAGGAAATGAGCTTTCCTTCATGGGTCTGGCCTATATGTGACTCCAGGCCCACTGCAATGTGGTGAACTCTGAAATGGTCATGCAAGCCACTCAGTTTAGGCATTTAGGAATGGACAACAAATCCTGACATTGCTAGTCACATCCCATGAGTGAGTACATGTGCAGGTTGGATTGGCCGTGCTAAACTGCTCCAAGTGTGCCGGGATGTGCAGGCTAGCTGGCTTAGCCATGGGAAATGCTGGGCTATAGGTGGATTTGGTCTGGATGGGATTTTCTTCAGAGGGTCAATGCAGACTTGATGGGACAAATGGCCTCTTATCTGCACAGTAGGGATCCTTAGATTCTGTGAATAATAGAAAAGAAAGACAGGCAGGCAGTGAATAACTCTGGTGGGAAGCCCACCTTCAACCACCTTAGATTATGTAAATGAGATGGCAGAAGGAAAACATATTGGAAACATAAAAGACTGTAAAATTTAATCAGACTAGAGCCTTGCACCTTGTTTTCAATCTTTGAATGCCTATGTGGTTCATCCGCTACATCGTGAACTAGCACAGCACAACATGAAGACAGGAAGACACCACCCTCACTAGAACTTCAAATCCCACAAAGGGAACTGGTGGAATTTAAGTTCAATTAATAAACTCTGGTATTGAAAGTTAGTCTCAGTAATGGCAATCATCAAAATATTGTCAATTGTTATAAAAAGATTCAACTGGTTGTTAATGACCTTTAGGTAAGGGCATCTGCTGACCTTAATTGGTCTGACCTACATGTGATTCCAGATCTACGGCAGCAGGCTGACTCTAAGCTGCTCTCTAAAACAGCCCAGCAAGCAAATCTGCTCAAAGGCAATTAGAGATGAGCAACAATACTGGCCTTGCCAGTGACACCCATGCCATGAAAGAATAAAGAAAATTATGCTGTACTTAATGGTTAGTTTCTGGTTTATCATTTTAGATTGGAGGTTGACTTCTTGATATTCATTCGGGGGTTTTATCATTGAAGAAAGATTGCTGTATTTAAACAAGAAAATATTTTGTTCAGTGTTTCACTGTTGTTGTTTGCCTAGGTCAATAAATAAAATCAGATGAAATCATTGTGTTTCACTTCCAGAGGGTTAGAATTCAAAAGAAAAGAAGATTCTACAAATATATTAACAGTAAGAGGGTAACTAGAGAGAAGGTAGCGCCTGTTAAAGATCAAGGATCTCGTCTTTGTGTTGAACTCCAGGAGATGGAAGAGATACTAAATGAATTTTTCATGTTAGTTTTTACTGTGGAGAAAGAAATGGAGTCTAGAGAATGCAGAGAAATAAACGAGACCCCTTGCAGAAATATTTGCATCATCTATAACTAAGGGTGAGGTGCCTGATGACTGGAGAGTGGCTAATGTTGTACCTTTGTTTAAAAAAGGTTGTAAGGAGAAACTGGGGAACTACAGACCTGTGAGTCTGACTTCGGTTGTGGATACATTGTTGAAGGCGATTATAAAAGATAGGATTTATGGACCTTGATAGAGGCAAAAATTGATTCGGGATAGTCAGCGTGGTTTTATGCGAGGAAAATCGTGTCTCACAAACTTGATAGAGTCTTTTGAGGAAGTTACCAAAAAGATTGATGATGGCATAACAGTAGACGTTATTTATTTGGATTTAGTAGAGCCTTTGACAAGGTTCCGCATGGTAGACTAATTAGAAGAGTTAGGTCAAAAGGGATTCAGGGTGAGCTTACCAATTGGATATATAATTGGCTTAATGGCAGGAGACAGAGAATAGTGGTGGAGGGTTGCTTTTCGGACTGGAGCCCTGTGACCAGTGGTGTTCCACAGGGATCAGTTCTGGGTCCACTTTTGTTCGTCATTTAAATAAATGATTTGGATGAGACTATAGAAGGCATGGTTAGTAAGTTTGCAGATGCCACCAAAATTGGGCGTAGATAATGAAGAAGGTTTGCTAAGATTACAAAGGGATCTTGATCAAGAGTTCAATCTGGACAATGCATTTTGGTACAACAAACAAGGTTAGGTCTTACACAATTAATAGTAGGGCATTGGGTAGTGTTGTAGAACAAGAGGGACCTAGGGGTGCAGGTACATAATTCTTTGAAGTTTGCATCACATATAGACAGGGTGGTTAAAAAGGCATTTAGCACACTTGCTTTCATTGCTCAGTCCTTTGAGTATAGAAGTTGGGAAGTCATGTTGAGGTTGTACAGGACATTGGTGAGGCCTCTTCTTGAATACTGTGTCCTGTTCTGGTCGCCCAGTTACAGGAAGGATATTATCAAGCTGGAGAGGGTTCAGAAGAAATTTACCAGGATGTTGCCAGGTATGGAAGGTTTGAGTTATAAAGAAAGGCTAGGACTTTTTTTCACTGGAACGTAGGAGGTTAAGAGGCAACCTGATGGAATTTTATAAAATAACGAGAGGTATAGATAGGATTAATGGTAGTTGTCTTTTCCCTAGAATGGGGAATTTCAAGACTAGGGACAGGTGAGAGGAAAGTGTTTAAAAAAAAAAGACATAAAAGGCGAATATTTTACACAGTGGGTGATTCATGTGTGGAATGAACTTCCTGATGAAGTGATGGATGCAGGTACAATTACAATGTTTAAAAGACATTTGGATAGATATGTAAAGGGAAAACGTTTGGAGGGATTTGGGCCAGGAGCAGGCAGGCGAGACTCGTTTAGTTTGGGATTACGTTCAGCATGGACTGGTTGGACTGAATGGTCTGTTTCTGTGCTGAATAACTCTATGACTATCTGGATGGTATATGAATAGGAAAGATTTAGAGGGATATGGGCCAAATGCTGGCAAATGAGACTAGATTAATTTAGAATATCTGGTCGGTATGAACAGGTTGGACCGAAGGGTTTGTTTCCCTGCTGTACAACTCTATGACTCCATGATTGCTGGAACAGCAGAACTGACATATGAAGAAAGTTGGGATCAGTTGGGACTATATTCACTTGAGTTTAGAGTAATGAGGGGGAGTTAGTGGGAATGTGGGAGGTTCTCATAGAAACCTACAAAATGCTAACAACACTTGACAGAGTAAATGCAGAAAGGATGTTCCCAATGACTGGAGAATCCAGATCCAGGAGTCCACAGTTTAAGGATACAGGGCAGACCATTTAGGACTGAGATGAGGAGAACATTTTTTCATCCAGAGAGTGGTGAGTCTGTGGAATTCTCTGTCACAGAAAGTGGAATTAGATATAGTTCTTTGGCTAAAAGGATAAAAAGGGTATGGGGAGAAAGCAGGATTAGGATAATGAGTCAGATGATCAGCCACCATCTTATTGATTTGCAGAGCAGGCTTGAAGGGCTGAATGGCCAGTTCCTGCTCGTAGTTTCTATGTGTGTCCTGTCCTGGTTTCTAATAGCATTTATGTCATAGGGATCTTTGTCATTCTTATATGATGGTTAGTTCCTGTATTTTTTCTGAAATAACATTTTACTTACACATCCAACTGTGATGTTGTAGTATCTTTCCAAGTCCCCTTTTAGTATTGAAACCGTTGTTTAAACTTCTGTAAAATTATCTGTCCTGAGCATTAATTTTGTTAATACCATTTGCATGTTGTCTTCATGTCTCCTTTTTGATATATAATTTTCTCGTTAGCTGTGATGGAATTTTTCATGCTTAACTTCTATATGCATCATTACTACAGTTGGGTGTGTAAGTAAAATGTTATTTCAGAAGAAATACAGAACCAACCACCAGATAAGAATGGCAAAGATCCCCTTTGTATGAATACTATTAGAAACCAGGACAGTTACTCCTTGATCCTTTTAGCCCAAGAACTATATCTAACTCCCTCTTGAAAACATTCAATGTTTTGGCCTCAACCACTTTCAATGGCAGAGAATCTCACAAGCTGACTACTCTCTGAGTGAAATGTGTGTCCTGCCAAATTAGTATGCTTAATTCTCTACCAAATCTAAATTTCTAACCAGATGTTGTTAAAAACTGTGATCCTTTGAGGATTACTTTACTGGAGTATATTCCCAACGTAGGAGATGCATGCTATATTTAAAAATGGCCATAATTCATCTGCGTATGTGCAGTTGCACTGTGAAATTACCCGGTTCATCAGAAAGGAAAAGAACTGTGGGAAAGAGTTGCTTGATTGATCGAAGTCTTTGGGTACATGCTTAATACATTTACATGATATTTTTCTCATTTGTTTTCTGCAATACAAGGAGGTTAGGAGGTGGCTACATGATTCAACTATACCATTAAACTGGTACTAATATGAAGAAGTTACAAATGTTTTCAGATGATCACCAAGTGTTGCTTTAGTTTTGTGCTTATGGGTGCTCTACTCCACCTAGTGGTGGCATTGGCCATAAATGCAGCCTTACTTTCAATTTGCATCCTTGCTACTAATGCTTCTGACACTGAAAACTTTTTCTTCTTACTTATTCAAAACGCTGCATCATTCTGAACACTTTTAAGAACTGTCTGTCTAATCATCTGTAAGGAGAACAACCCGAGTTTCTAGTCTCAGTCCACATAACTTTCATTAAATCTAGCTTCTGAAGTCTGTATGATGCCAGTACCTGAAATGAAGCCTGTGAGACTCAGATCAAATGCTGTCACACCTTCAAGAAGGTTGAGATCCTTTTCTTAATGGCACACGAATTTCCACATTAATAAAAGCTGAAATGGAAGCTCTGAAGTGCTGGATTAAAACTCAGTTCCAACAGCTGAATGGACACATATCCGGCATTAACTTTGCAATTCCTGTTCTCACTGTCATCTTAGTCTCAGAGGAAATTAGTTGCTTTTATTTTCTGATCCACCCATTTAAGACAAGTAATTACAACTGTCACATTCCATGTAAATATTCTTTTCTCTTACCCTCAGGTCATATGAAAGTTTAGCTCATTTACTACAGTTAATTAGGTGCTCAAGTAACTTGTTGCTCACATTCTAATTTGTGCATAATTTAACCATTGGTGCATTGTGGGAATGTGTCTAAATTCCTAATAGGTGTTCATGGTTGTTGCTCACAGTCATTTTGATTTTATAAAAATTATTGCTTAAGTAACTGATCAGAATTGAACATGAAATGTGACAATTATTGTACAAGATTAATTTTTGCAATCATGAGCATTTTGTAAAGCTTCGAAGAGTCCATTCAAAACTATTGTCTGCACCCAACCATAAAGAATTATACAGTAATTGCTGGAAAGCCTCAACAAATCTGGCAGCATCTTCAGAGCAAAGGGTCAGTGGACCTGAAAGATTAACTCTGCTTTCTCTCCACAGATGCTGCCAGATCTGCTGAGTTTTTCAAGCAATATCTGTCTTTGTTTGATTTTTGGCATCTGCAGTTCTTTGGTTTCTTTTAATAAGTATTCAGACATGATTAGGTATTTCTATGTTCAAGACATAATAAATAAATTAATATTGTTTAAACTATAAGTTCAATTTTCTGCAGGTGATGTGCATGCTGTCTTGTGCAAAAATGGAAAAGGATATCGTTTAACTGAAAACCACAGCACCTCAAACCGTAAAGAACGTAAACGTATTCATAGAAATGGTGGAACAATCAGTAGAAACGAACGACATGGGCTTGTAGAAGGATTCATTCAATCAACACGAGGGCTTGGATACCATGGAGATCCCAAGCTTAAAACATCTATTGTACCAATACCATATACTGTTTCTGTGCCTATTGATTCCACATGCCAGTTCCTTATTCTAGCTTCAAGTGGATTTTGGAAAGTGCTGAGTAGACATGAAGTCATTTCAATCTCATTGGAAATGCTTTCTTTTTATTTTAGATCTTTGCATGCAGAATCTAGACAAATTCGTTCTGTAATTCATTCATTACATGTTAAGGACAAATACCTTGACAAACGTTTCTTGTTAGCACATTTACTTGAGGAGTTTTCGCAGCAAGGGCGCAAAGATGCTTTGATGTCACTTGAGCGTTTATTTGAGGAGCTATTAATAAGCAAGGAAAATAATCTGGACAGTAAAACCATGAAATATCTACTCAGACATTATTCATTTATGAAGAAACATGATCATCTTTGGCAAGTCATGCACCAACTACTTGAAAATGTTATAGAAAAGGAGGAATCCATGGCAATTCGTAAAAACTCACTTGATATCAAGTTGGATCATGACAGCAACGTATTTCTGCCAACTTTACGTAGGGAACAGAGCAAGCACAAGACAGTGATGGACAATTTTCCTAAGGAACCGTTACTGGACAAGAAAGTTTTGAACAACAGGAATCCCAAAGAACAATACAGAAGACCAGGGACTGATGTTGCTGAGGGGCATTTACACACGGAGAGACAAAAAGTTCGCCATAAACGAGAGACAATAACCAAAGAATCAAAGATTCAAAAATCAGTGACCAGGACTTCTGAGAGTTTTCATTCTTCTTCATCAGATGCATTTGAAGTAAGTTATATAAATCAAGAAGTAAAAAGAGAAGAATCAAAGCTGGAAACAGGTGAGCAACGACAAGAAATTCAGTATGAAACTTTAGCAAATACCATCAGCAAATGTTTAGTTGAAACTGCTAAACAAGCAGGAGCTTGTGACAACATAACAGTGCTCATGTTGTTGTTACCTGGTTGTGCTAATTCACATTTGATAAAACAGAAGAAATGATGTAAGCTCATCCATTCCAGAAATAATACTTTTATTAAAAATTCAACTTCATCTCTAAACATGAAGCTGGTCACAGCCACATCTGATATATTGTTAATTTCAAAGAAAACAACTGGCTAAGTATATAGTTGTATAGACAAAAAAAAAATGTTTGTTCGTTCACAGTATAAACTTTATCTAAAATACAGGAAATGTAAGTTCATGACTTGGTGGACACATGAATGAGCACCGTTCCTTGTCAGAATGGAGGTCATTGGGTCATCATCACATCTAGAGAACTCACTCTATAAGTGACTAGGGTGGATTTTATGAATGTGATTTATATGCAACTATTCTCCGCTCACTGAATTTTGGTGGAGAAATCGGTGTTTATCTGGAAAGGTTGCTGTAGTTTAATTCATAAATTTGTTTTGTTGTTGTTGGTAGAGACACTTATAGATTCTGTAGATTTTTGCTGTAGTATGCTGTTTATATAGACTTTTCTGAAAAAATAAACTTTGCTTGCTGTAAAATGCATTGTTTCTGGAAGTCTTGCTGTAAGTCTCAGCCTACCTCCAACATATTAATTAACAGTCTGGGGTAACATGTTTTGTTTAGTGCAATACTGAGCAGTTAAGTTTCAGCACATTCAATCCTTGTCTTAATTAAGTGAGCTGATTCCATCTGGCTCAACAGCAGAAATGTAACACAAGATCTCATTGCCTTTGAGATCAGGAGAAAAATAAACAGCCAGGACTGCAACTAAGTTTTAATCATACTGGGAAATACACGACTGAGTCCATTTCTTATTTCGCTGCAATGCCTTCCTGATAAAACAGCCCACATATGGATCCTGATACGAAACTCTGAAAGGAAACTCATTGTCAATGAAGTGTCTGGCAAAGTTGAGAACATGGTGGCCTAATGATATTAGCAGCAGAACTTATTTGAACATTGCTGGGTTGCATTTTGTTTGGCAATAGAAAAACTGACAACATAGTTAACAAGAGATAACAAGGTGTAGAGCTGGATGAACACAGCAGGCCAAGCAGCATCAGAGGAGCAGGAAAGCTGACGTTTCGGGCCTAGACCCTTTTTCAGAAAAAGTTAGCATAACATATGGAGTGGGAGGAGAGGCTTTGCAGTGATGAAGGTGTAGATGTTGTGGGGAAGGCTGAGAAAAGTTCTGCATAGTGACTTGCATTGGGGAAGGCCAAAAACCTCCTTTTGAAACTTGGGATGTGCAGTCGTGTCATGTCTGGATCACAATTAGTGCTAAAGGAGCAGGTGTTTTCTACATCCAAGATTTGGCAGCTTCGACCTCAGATCAACTACGAGGTAGCCTTTTCACTTCCAGGTAAATTTAAGCTGTCAGGCTGATAATTAACATTAAACTATAGGCTCCCCAAGCACTGTCATTTTCTTCTGGTATCTTCCCAAATGGCCAGATTATGTTAAATCTTAAGAGTGCTCCAAATGGAATTGTACTGACTTTTTTATTTCAAAAATACAGTTGATTCATAAAAAAAATTTTGTATATAATACATATATAGTCACAAATGCAGTTTGGTTCTGTACAGCAGCATATCAAGGAAACAAACAAACATTGGAGTTTACATGTATTTGAGGCACTTGGAGGGTCCGATAACTGAATGGACCCCCACTTAACTTCAGACAGTAGGTCTTTCCCCACTGCGCCTTGGCAGCAGCTGCCCCAAACTTTAGCACATCCCCCAGCACATAGTCGTGGACCTTGGAATGTGCCAGTCTACAACACTTGCTTGGGGTCAACCCCTTGTTCTGGAAGACCAACAAGTTTTGAGCAGGTCAAAGAACGTCTTTCATTGAGTTTATGGTCTTCCAGCCATAGTCGATGTTTTATTTTAACCCCTTGGGACCTTAATCTAATTTGGGTGCATATGGGGATGTGGTGAAAGTTTAAAATTGAGACCATATTATTAAGTTTGTGTGACAATTGGCTGCTCGAATGAAGTATCAGAGGGCTGCTTGAGCTGCAAAACCTGTGAAAGTTGTCATCTTGAAAATAAGATTAAATCATTGTAAAAAAGTGCAAAGGATATAAATTTGACTAGTAATTCACTCTCCGCATGAAGTAGCTAACATACAAATTACTTCAAAATTTAGAACTCTGCTTAAAAATTAGTTTGAAGATTTTGATTAAATGTTTTATTTTAATGGAATAGTTAATCTTTAGAATATTTAATGGGGATTATTTTAACTTTTGACAAGTGTGGCATTCAAGGAGTGGAGTTTTAAATGTCCCAATTGATTTTCAGTTCTATTGACATTGATGAGAAAGGAGTTCAAGCATGGTATGCAGTGGGCAGCCAATCTGAACCTTCAACTGAAGTGAAAATTATCTGCTATAATTTATTTTTTTTAAGTACCTAAGCCCTTCCGTACCATCTGTGGCCAAACCTTCATCCATTATTGGAATTCTTTGCCCCATTGCATCCACTTTATTTCATTCAATTCTTATACAGCACTCTTCGGTACAACTCATTCACACTTTCCAGACATCCCAATCTGACCTAGTCCCATTTGCCAGCATTTTGCACATATCGCTGTAAAACCTTGCTATTCATATACCTATCCAGCCTCCACCACTTCCTCTGGCAGCTCATTCCATACATGCATCACCCTCTGCATGAAGAATGTTCCGCCTCAGGTTCTTTTTAGATCTTTCCACTCTCACCTTAAATCCATGCCTTTTAGTTTTTGACTGCTCCACCCTAGAAAAAAGACCTTGGCTATTCACGCTACCCATGCTCCTCATGATTTTATAAACCTCCATCAGGTCATTTCTCAACCTCTGATGTTCCAGGGAAACAAGTCCCAGTCTAATCAGCTTCTCCCTAAAACTCAAACTCTCCAGTCCCAGCAAGATCCTTTTAAATCTTTTCTACATCCTGTCAAGTTTAACAACATCTTTTCTATTCTGGCGACCAGAATTGTACGCAGCATTCTAAAAGTGGCTTCACCAATGTCCTGTACAGCTGCAACATGACATTCCCAACTCTTATACTCAGTGGGAGGCAATGTGTGAACACAAGCATGCCAAACACCTTCTTCACCGCTCTGTCTAAATATCATTATCAAGACCTAAACAGTTAAACTTGCCTCTGGTCACCTCTCTGAACTTTTCTCCCAACTTCTGGATGACAGATAGCTCACAGATTGTCTTGTAATGTTGTAACATATAAGTTTAAGGTGGTATTAAGTATGATCTTTTTCAACTGCCTATAATTTATATCTGATACTCATGGTACATAATAAATTAATTTAAGTAATCAGCTTTCATTACTCCAGAAACACAATTCATATTTAGTTCAAAGGGTATTAGTTAGTTGCTTGAGGTAGGAATTTTAGAGTGTGGATAGCAATTAGCATAGTGGAACTAGGCTAGTTGGCTTGCAGGGAAAAATATCAGCATAAATATGATGGACCAATGAACTTTTGTAAGGTACAGCAATCTTTGTTCCAGAAGAATGGCTTTGTGATTGTGTTTTTTTTAAATAATGCAACTGTTTTATGTCCCAGATATGTTGAATAAGAGGAAGGCAGCTGCTTTTCCATTTCTCTGCAGGCCATGATTCAGAACTGTTTATGGAAGAGGAATCAAACACTTTGTCTTGCTTGTGAAAAGAGACTGATTCTGTAGCATGGCACTGTTTATGTAGCCTCTAAAAATTTAGCATGTAAGAAGTGCACAGATGTAGATGTGAATTTAATTGGATACCTTCTTTAAATGGATTCAGTGTTACTTCCATTCAGTGTTTTGTCATCATTGTTACGTTTTGACCCTTTTATTTCAACCACTCTTGTAATATTTCAGTACACCTCAATTTTGTTGACTTCTTCAAATAGCAAAAAGGAGATATTGTTAGGATGTAATTGTACTGCTGTGTTTCAGTTTTATTAGATTGTCAACTTTATCTTGTAAAGGCACAGAGTTGAGGCCCAATAGGACAGCAGTTACTTCCTATCATTCCCAGATATGTGGGGAAAGAATGCAGGAGTTCATCTTTCAATCAAATCAGAAAGAACTGCGTGACAAATATATTTTAAAATAAAGCTACCTAACTTTGGATGCAGTTCACACTTAAGCACTGACTTAGGAAAATGGAAAAGACTTATTTGATAATGAGTACCATGGAGTTACAGTGCCAACAAAGCATATTCAGATGCATTATGAAGGGGTGGGATTCATTTAATTCAAAAGAAACAGGACTAATGAGCCTAATGCTCCTTTACTTTGCTGCTATTATTAGGGCAAATTAAGTGCAATTTTAAGCCTCCATGCCTAATATATTAGGCACATTCTGTTTTACTAACTACCCATCAAATATGATCAGAAGGAGACTGAAATCATGGAAGGCCTATTCACTTTGCATTCTTCCTGCTTACATTTAAATCCAGATGAAAAATAGTGGAAAGGAAATTAAAAACAATTAGGTGGAAGCCAAATATTGCTAGAAATTCAATTGACTTTTTTTTTGTGTGAGTTGTTCTCTTTCACTCATTGTGCTTTTCCATGTCCACCCCTCACATGTTAACAATAAATATGCAAAGAATCCATATAATTTAAATACTTTGGGTGAACAAGTTGTTAAACACTACTAAAATAAACAAAATGGAGTTCGATGTCAGATTGTAGGACTACAAACTTTGATTTAAACTGAGTTATTAATTATTGGCTCCAGACATAGAGGAAGGATGCAAGTTTTAGAGGAGATCAGGATTCTAGGAGGAGAATTAGAGAGATTAGCCATAATTGCACAAATAGTTGAAAAATACAAAAAAAAATCTTAGCATTGTCTTTTGATGGTTTATTTTTGCAATGAACCAACATATTGTACACTCATTAGTGAAAAAGTGCCTGTAACTAAATATTGCAGTACACAAAAGAAAATTGTGGAAAATTTTTAATGAAGTGAAAAATCAGTTAAATACAGTAAAATGTAAAACCATGTCTACTTTCAGACAACCAATAATTTTTCAATAATTGAAGTAAAGTCCAATAGTTTAGTATTGAGTTCCTTTCTGGATTTTTGCATACCGTTGTATTATTGTTGAAAGGCGTTCTTACCTGATAGGTACAATATACAATTCTACAAATCAGCCAGCATTGAAGTTGCCTATAATGTGCCTCCTCTGATGACGAGGCTGCATCTGTGGCTTTTGTACTTGTTAGTTTAGGGTAATCCTACTCAGACCCCCCCAGTTTAGGAACCTCTGCTTTGTATATTTATTTTTAAGAACATAAATTAAGATAGTCCAGTTTGAGAAACTCCAGGTCCTAGCCAAAAACCTACTAATATACCTTGAAGATACCAAGAACTGCAAATGCTGTATAATATACCTTGGTTTTATTGACCTTGATAGAGGAAGTATGCTCCCTTATTGTGGTAGAAAATTTATGGCACTTGTCATGATTAAACTCTGTGAAGAAATTAACA